CCAAAAAAGATTTCGAAAAATTAGTTCCCATTGTTGGATGCACGGGACGTGTGGAAAGTACGCAGAAATGTTTGTTAGAAAAGAGTGTGAAGCTTTGTACTAAAAATCTTTGAAAATTTCAAAGATCATTATTATAAAATGTTGAAGGTAGAATTCTTGGAACTTAAATCCCAAAGAGAACTCAAAAAAAATTTTTTTTTGTACATGACTTCAGCGAATATACTGTATATATCACCCATGTATACAACACGTTCGTACAAATGAATTAGGTGTATCCTTACGTAATAGGATAATGTATGACATTGTGACCGGGACATTTTCCGATATATAACGGCGCAGAATTATATACCCTTATGATTTTGTCGAGGGACCTTTCGTCTTCGCTGATCAATATCTTCTGTTGAAAAATGTCGGACAATTTGTTTCCCTACTCTTCTTCTGACACCTCTAACGTTAAAGGAAACGAAGAGAACCTTGAGGAGTTTCGAAGACGTTGGAAAGAAGAGTTGCAACAAAAGAAACCCTCGCAACAAGCAATTTCTCAAGGTGCAATCGCCACTGCTTCTAGTGAAATATCGGACGAAAATTCTTGCAGTGAAGATGTCGAGCATCAGGAATCGGGCGAGTTGGATTCTGTTTTGTCAGCTTCCCGTAGAACTGATGACAGAGCAAAAAAAAATGCGGCGTTAGAACTTTATATCAAAGCAGTTACAAAAGAACGCGAGGGAGATATAGGAGAAGGTGAGTTACCTTTTAATATAATCTTTGTAATGACACTTTTTCGATGTCACTTCCACTTATCGAGTAATGATACCTTTAAAGCATTAAAAAATTATCGTCAAGCTTCGAAGCTTGATCCCGGCGTAGAACATACTTATAGAAAGTATTTTCATAACGCCATCACTGGAGAAAATGCTGAGAATTTTGATGTATCTCAATCATTGGCTCAACATTTAAAAGAAGAATTTCGATTATCTACCGCATCTCACGAGAAAGATTACGAAACACGTCAACTCAACGTAAATCTTTCAGAGAAACACCATGTAGAATCGTCGGAACACGAAAAAAGTTCCAATCGGATGATGATTGCTTTACTCAACTCTTTGCGCAATATGAGACTTGCCTATGAACCGTTAGTCCTGGAACGACCAGTTCATATCGCAAAACTCCCAAATGAATTATTAATATGTGTGCTTAAACAGTTGATTAAAACGTGAGATGTGTTCTCTTGAGAGATTCGGATTGGCATGTAAGAAGTTTTGGGTATTGTCAAGGGAAGTTTCGTTGTGGAGGTATTTATGTCAAAAAGCTTATTGGGATGTCAGTTTGACATTGGGAACATCGAATTTGCTGCAAGAAGAATACGTGAGCTTTTATGATAATGATTGGAGGAGAATGTACATAGAAAGGTATGTTGAATTTGTCTAATTAATAGTATAAACAAAAAATGCATCGGTGTATTTACCTGCATATTGACATTCATTTCCTAAAGGCCTCGAATAAGGTTTGATGGCGTTTACATATCAACATGTCGTTATCTAAGGTATTTAATTGCAATTCATTTATTTCTGTCTTTCATAATTTCTGGGATGTAATGGAATAAATATATCTCAGGCCCGGATCGACGGAAAACACTTGGAACCAGCCAATACATCTTGTAACATACTTTCGATATCTTCGCTTCTACCCTGAT